AGAAACTCAACGAGTTCAAAATAAGCAACGGCAATCCTGTGCAGAAAATAACAATCTACAGCGCGGAAATTCTAAAGATATGTCATTTTCAAATAATTTGTGATATTGTTCTTGAAATAAATTTTATGTGGTTTAATTGCGAAGAACATGATGTTTAATAAATAAAAGTAACGCGCAAAACGTTACAAAAACGCTCCTTTGGGCGTAATATAAAATTACACCGCTGCGTGCTTCCAGAGTTTATCTTTTTTTCCCTCATTACACTCAAAAAGGTTTATGCTCCGAATTTTATGAATTACTAAAATAAATAATCATCCTGTAATGTTAATAATTAATGATCATATAATCAAATAAATGATCGTCTTGTTATGCTATAATAATTTAAAAAACTATTGCCTGAAAATGCTCATAAAATCAAAGAAAATTAGCAGATTTTGTTTAATTTTACCTTATTTGTTTTTACCTTATTTGTTTCAAAGCATCATATGCTATCAGTATCATTTAATTTTACTTTATTTGTACACAAAAATAAGTTCATAAGTTTTGCGTTTAGAATTTTTACCGTTTTACTAAAGTAAAGAAATTTATACAAGAATTACGCTTGAAACAAATGCACAAAATGCAGTAAAAAGTGCTTTTATGAGATATGTTAAATCTTGTTTGCAAAAACTGTGACACTTATACGACGTATCACATTTAATAATTAAAAACAGTTATGTGATACAAACGCCGGCGCTTTCTGTGTTAAAGTAAGCCAGATCGTCCCTACTCTTTCTTATGGACATGTGGGCGACGCACGCTCCGAGATATCTTTATATAGTCTATCTTTTATAAGATTCATGTATGTATCGTGCTGTTTGGTGTATATTGGCGAAATTGATAAAGGGTTGAAATTTCTCGTCAGTGAATATGAATGAAATTTGAAAGTTAAAAAGAATTTTTTTAGCTAAGTACGGCGGTCACTTAATTACATTTTAATGTGAGATCTTGAAAAATTATCCATAAAGCTTGTTCATTTAATCAACTGGGTTCTTTTGAACACTTACACTTCATTAATAATTTTTCTTGTTTACTTAATGATATTAATTTTCCAATCTCGCTCTTCCAAATTTTTAATACCTTTACGTTTCATTACTATTTTACACATCACATTATGTTACATTCTTTCCCTTACAAAATCGTTTGGCTCTTCCCACTAATGAAATTTTCTTTCCCTGTCATGAAAAATCTGAATAATGCAATAAAAATTATTGTTATTGTTGAATTATACTTTTTATGGAAACATATGGTGGTGAGGGTTAGTTTAGCAAATATATTTTATTTTGTTATTAAAAACAATTAAAAAAAGTGAACTTTTAAGACAAGCAAAGGTATAAATTATTTGCGACCTATATAATTTGCAGTTCATGCCACCATTCTTGAGATAAAAATTCTGTAACCTTTTATTGACCACGCCTCTCGCTTAAAATACTTACTTAGGTTAATGTTTATAGCCCTAAACTAGTGCATAATGTTTAATTTAGAATTAAAATATTCTTTAAGGTTTTGTTTTATTCATTTTCGAGAAATTTCAACGCTTTTTCAATTTGGACAATGTACACCAAACAGCACGATACATATCAAACAATGCTAAATTAACGTGATAATTAATATGAGATCTTTAAGAATCGAAAAATGAATTTTACTGATAAGTGAAAAAAATGACTTAAATATTGAACTTATGGAGTAGTCGAGAAATTTTGTAATTGATAGTTTAAATAATTTTTGGGTACGTGTCAATTAAACGTCACTGTCGGCTTACTAACCTGTAACTAAATGTCTTGACAGGTAAATGTCCCGTAGCTAAATGTCCTTACGGCTAACTCTGTGTGTCGGTCGAATGTCCTGTCGTCTAACTGTCCGTGTCGGCTAAATGTTCTGTCGGCTAATTGTTAATTCTATGTTACTATTAGTTAGTGTCAGCTAAATGTCCTGTCGGCTAACTGTCCGGGTCGGCTAAATGTCCTGTCGGCTAACTGTACGTGTCGGCTAAATGACCTGTCGGCTAAGTGTACGTGTCGGCTAAGTGTACGTGTCGGCTAAATGTCCTGTAGGCTAAATGTCCGTGTCGGCTAAATGTCCTGTCGGCTAAGTGGTGCCGGTTAAGTGTCCCGTCGGCTAAGTGTCACGGACCCCTAAACTGCATCGAAAGTTAATTTCGTAAAAAAGCTGACGAAATTAGCATTTCTTATAAAATATATACGTCGATGCATTCTTAAATTTTAATTGCATTAAATTAATATTAATATTAATTTGAAATATATGAAATATAATATATGAAAATTAATTTGAAATATATGAAATATAATATAATATATGAAAGGTTAAAATATCATTTATGCAGAAAACAGGGCTTATCTCCAGAATGATAAAAAAAATTATGATATTTTTATTTCAGGAAGACGAAAACATAACATGAAGCTGAACAGAAGTACACACACATATCAAGAGAAACGCATGAAAAGAATTTTAAAGCTTTAAAATTTTACGTGATGATTGCTTTTGTTAAAGAAATTTCGTATTATGTATTTGTATTAAATCTGCATTGCATGAAACAGATGGAAATGCTTCCAAAAGTTATACGTTGCGAATAATTATTTAAATACAATCGTAAAATTTTTTTAAAAGGAAGAAATCTTTGCCGTATAGCACGCAACAATATACCATTCTATGTTACTATTAGTTACAGAGGCACGTTCTAATTAAATACACTTTTTGTCAATAACGAGCCACATTACAAATAGAGAACGTATAGCAAAAGTGTAGCAGAATGCGAGCGCCACCTAGTGATGAATTTCGCGAAAGCCACTGGAAAACTGGGAACCGGAGTTTCATTCAGTCTGGCAGGCCTTGAGTATAAGTTGATCTTGATTAAAATAAGTAGTCCACCTCTTGCATTACCTCTAGGCGCATATCTGCCTACAGTTGATCTGTCCTATCTGTACGTGACATAATTGCAGGCTCTAAAAAAATTATGAGGGCCAAGCATGTGTTCTTGTAGGAGTAGAATATCAGGGGCAAATTCGTGTAAAAACTCCTTGAGCTCGTAAGCTTTCGGGAGCAATCCATTTGCGTTCCATGTAATTATAGTTAAAGGCATACTTTGATTACACTGATACATTATTGAATTTCATTAACTATTTCAAAAAAATAAGAACATTTTATCAACAGGATCTGTTAATTCTCTCAACTTAGGCATGAAAGTTTTAAATACATTATTCATTATCTTCATGTTATGAATCCCAAAAATATTGTTAAATTCTGCTACATTCTTAACAAAATTTACAAATTCTGAACATTGATTTTTCTCCTGCGGAGAACTGGAAGCATTATTTTCAGAAGACATTTGCTTAGTATTTTTTACATTGGAAACATTTAGATTTCTCAGAGCATTACTAATATCAGTAAAATTAAATTGCACATTATTCTTAACTGATTGGTTTTGTGCAGCAGTAGCCGAGTTGGGGATTACACATTAGATTAATTGTTAAAATTAGGAATTTGATTTTTCTTCATAGCTGCATATGAGATTCCATTTTTAACAGAACTATCTTTTTTCTGTTGGTTACTCTTATTTTTAGGAAATTTTTCGCATCCACGATACGACGCGACATGATTTTTTTGACAGTTGCTGCATTTAGGTTCTTCAATGCGTCCCTTAGTTGGACAATCCATAGTCTTATGTTCTAATATCCTAGGCGTGAAGAAGCAGTTCTCCGAAGAATGGTGCCACTTTTGGCAATTATGCCTAAGTGTTGAAGTGAATCTTTTTTTTTTTTTTAAAGGCAGGTTACTACCTTGCCGTAGTTTATCATTTTTTAAGCGTGGGCTACTTTCAAAAGTTTAGAAAGGAAAATGGGTTTCCTTATAAAAAGAAGGAACACATTTCCTTTTATTAAAGTATATATTAATAAGGGTAGATTTTTATGTTCGCAATGTTTATCATTTTTCTGAACTGTTGGAATAGTTTAAATGACTAATTTGGGGGGGGGAAATCTTGTTTACATTTTTTGTACTTCTTAGAATACGTTTAGCTTCAAAGATGTGTTTTGCGCAATCAAGACTTTAATTCATTCCTCTTTGAAAATCTTCGAGAAAAAGATAATAAAAATTAGACAGAGGATTTCTGTGTAGAAAATTTAGACATGAAATAAGTTAAAAGCGATTAAATCAACTATTCAATGAATTTATGAATAATTAATCATATAATACTAGTTATTAACAATTCTGCCTGCCTGTTTATTTTTTTTATGGAAATACTTGGTTGGCATTTTCAGGACACAAAAAGTACTTCATAGAACTTTGAAATATTAGTGCAAACACATTAATAAATTAAACTGAAATAAATAATGGGATGTAATTTAAAAGACAGAAATAATTTAATGTAAAAGATTTAGATTTAAAAATTTGCACACACAAATGATTTTATAAGGTTTTATAAGATTTATCAGATTTTATAAGGTTTTACTTCATAAATAACTTTGATTTTGAAATATGGCATTTGAACCTATAAACATGAAAGGATACTGACAAAGTGATGATTATATAAGAATATTATAATTTTTAGTCAGTTTTCTTATTTAATAATAAAGATTTTTTAACTAATTACACGTCCTCGCTTGCAATTAGAACCATCATTAAATCCCTATTATATCTAATCATTTCCTGAACATTATCATGTATATAGATTGACCTCGTCTTTGTAACTGATAATTATTACTTGCAAATTATTCTCTCTTGCTGGTGAACTATTAACAACCCTTTCTATTGCTGAGTTAGGGTTCACAATATTCGCTCTCGCTATCGCTTACCTTACGGAAATGGACGTAAAATCACCTGGGCTGATTGTGCGCATGCGCGAGCGTAGGTGTGAATAGCCTCTTATACTGCGAATTTAACCAAGAGTCCTTACAGTTACTGGAGTCGTAAAATATAGCGGTCGTTAGCGAAGAAAAGATCGTTATTTACGCTCCTTGTCGTGAATACCCCCCTGATTTTAACATATTTTTATTAGTTTACTATTACACTTTTTTAATGAAAGATTAGTATATTGTTTTGCTTGATAACATTTAATTTTATTGGCTGGCAACATAGGAGAGGCATTAAAAATTGTGACACATGTATGAAAGTGCCAAACGATGTCCATATATATTGCAAATTAATATGAAATTTTCATTCTTGTTAGCAGAATACTTTGCAAATTTGGTATAATAAAACATGGTATCTGGGAAAATGCACAAGCCTTTTCTCCTGATGTCAACAAATGCGAAATTCCCGGAAGTGTCGCCTACCGAAACATCCCCGGAATCTGTACTGCATTTTTTAATTTCTGTCAAAAATTCCGAATGATATCATATTTTCTTTTAGTATACCTTTCTATATTGGTTTTAAGTACTATTCTCCAAGAGGGGTTCGTATGTTTTAGTCCTGCAGCATGAAAACTTCACTTACACGACATACGTGAAAAATATTTCAAGAACTGTTTTTTAAATATTCTTATTTTAGTATGGGGCAAACATACAATGTACGCACTGATTCCTTGTTCAAAATCGTATTTCAGTTATATGCATTGCAGAAATAAAAGATGCTAATCTATAGGTAATAGTAAAATATTATTTGGAAATTACTTGGTACTACGTGTATACATGGTTATTTTCACATAGCAGCACCGAAACTTTATATAATGTTGTTTAGCTAACAGATTATTATATTAAAGGTTTGATTTCATTAAATTTGATATTGAAGACTGTACATGTATTCATGCAAGAAATATTTGGGTAAATTAACCGTGATCTAATTTTTTGAAGTGTTTCTGGAAATCAAGTTTACTTAAATCACACAAAGGATGAGCCTCATGCATAACGAACATTAATGCTTTTACAAATGTTGTCATATGGATATATGTACTTACAACAGCTTTGATATGTACAGGCTAGAAATTGCTAAAAGAAGTAAGTTGTGTAAAAGTTGAATGCAACTGAATCTGTTTTAGCATACACGCAGAACATGGATATCATGTAGCAAGTTACATGAAACCAAAACTATCTGAAATAGGCAGATACTTATCTATGAAGTAAAAATTATATCTATGTGAGGTATTAGCGTATCATAAGCACATAAGATAACTTAAAAGTGTATGTGCTTTTCACGCAGCAAAGAGCAAAGATAAGATAGATAACAGATTCTTTGGAAACGAGAGCAGTTTAAGGAAATATGTTTATCCACACAGAAGAAAGACCACATGTGTGTGGGGTGTGTAAGAAATCATTTAAGCTAAAAAACAATTTGAGCATACATATGCTTCTTCACACAGGAGAGAAGCCTCATGTGTGTGAAATATGTAATAAGTCATTTACCGAAAAGGTGATTTAAAGGATCATATACTTGTCCATATTGGGGAAAAATGTCATGTGTGTATGATGTGTAACAAATCATTTACACAAAAAGCTTATTTAAAAAGGCATATGTTTATTCACACGGGAGAGAAACCTCATGTTTGTGAAATATGCAGCAAATCGTTTAGGAAAAAGAGTATTTTTAAAAGTACATATGCGTAATCACACAGAAGAAAGACCATATGTTTGTCAATTATGTAGCAAGTCATTTAAACAAAAGAGTGGTTTAATTATGCATATGCGTCTTGAAAAAGGGGAGAAATCTGTGGTCTGTGAAGTATGTAATAAGTCATTTAGAGAAAAAGGTCATTTAAATATGCATATGCTGATACATACTGGAGAAAAACCTCATGTGTGTGAGATATGCAACAAGTCATTCAGACAGAAAGGTGATTTAAATAAACATACACCTCTTCATACTGGGGAAAAGCCTCATGTCTGCGATGTGTGTAAGAGGTCATTTGGGATAAAAAGTTATTTGAAGAGACATATGCTCATTCACACAGAAGAAAAATCTCATGTTTGTATGGTATGTAAGAAATCATTTAGAAATAAGGGAGATTTAAGGAGGCATTTGCTTATTCACACAGGAGAAAAACCTCATGTGTGTGAGATATGCAAGAAGTCATATGGACGAAAAAGTGTTTTGCTAACACATATGCATATCCACACAAAAGAGAAGTCTCTTGTCCTTTAGAATAAAAATTAGTTTAATGGGAACTTTTGCTTATGCATGTGGGAAAGGCTTATTTGTTCAGAAGAGAAATTACCTACATCTGATATACTTGTTTGTAGAACTGAGAATCTTTATTATAAAATGTATGTAGCATATCATTTAGGCCAGTGTTTCTCAAATATTTTTGATTTACTGCCTACTTTTGTAAAAAATTGAATGCTCAATGCCTCGTAGGAACTCAAGTTTATATTTTATAAAAATATATAAAAAATTAAAATAGTAATGTTGAGGTTGAGTTATTTGTATATTAATGAAATGAACAGTAAATGCAATTGTATTTAAATATAGTCTAGTACTTTAAATTAAGACGTTTCAAGGCTGTAATTATTCTTCTCTCATTTATGATTGTAATTTGTGTCATCTCATAACACAGAGAGGATTAGAGTATTTTAACCAATTGAGAAACATGACCGTTTTCTTCAACAGTCATTGCCGAGGTTTATGCAGCTGCCAAAAGGGGGAAAAACTGCCTTAACGTACATATTGTAAAGTAACAGATTATAAATTATGGGTACAGATTTGCCAATTGTACAAGTTACCAAATTTGGCAATTTTTTTTTTTTTTTTTTTTGGTCAGTTATGGTAACCATACAATGTTGGCAAGATTTTGTTTTGTATGGCAATGCATTTAATGAATTAATGTGTTACTGTATATTTTTGTTTGGTTATTTTTATTATTTCTGCTTGTTATTACATTGGTTTCATTATTTTAAATTTTTTGTTTCCATTTCACAGTTTGAGCCTAACAAGTCTGCAAACCACAGTTATTACCATGGGTAAGAAGCAAGACAGAAGGAGAAGAAAGAAATCCACAGAGGCTGTTACACATTTTTTAGATGATTTTCACTGTATTTACAGGAATGCACTCTGTCACAAAAAAATATATGCATTCAGAAAGAAACGAACTACAGTAGAATTCCAAAAATCCGCAAAGCTTGGGACCAGAGGTTGTGCGGATTTTAGGATTTCAGGACAGAAAAGATAAAACATAATATTCAGACTAAAGGTGCAAAATGAATAATGCTTATTAGATACATTTAATTAAATTATTATATACATTATTGCACTAATTTATTATATGCATTAAATTATTATTACATATATAAATTGATTATATTATTCATTGTATTATATGTACACAGCATCGAGGTTTGCCGATTTTACCTCATGCAAAGATTTCCGGTGTTAGAATCACTGTTGCTGTAAAATTTTAACAGCTTTCTTTATTTTTCCTTATATCATACACAATCGTGTCGCAATTCCATACCATTCTGCTATAAATCGAGGAGTAGCACCTGCTTCTATCTTTTGCAAGAATTTGCACTTTTTGCATTACTGTCAGTGCAACGTGTTTACATTTTTTTCAACATTGCAAGCAGTAAAATCAAGAGTGTGTTTCTTATCTGTAATTGTATTAAAAAGGGCTGAAATTAAAAAATATTCTCAATTTATCCACAAAATATCTGGATAAAAAAAGGCAGCACTAAGCAATCTCGTGAAATGAAATAACAAAACTCAGAAAATACAACGGGAATCGTGAACTTGAACAAAGTGTTGAGTCAATTGTCTGCTTTTTTACCTTGATGCAGATTAGAGGGAAAAAAAAACTTATCTTATTTTTTTTAACGTTTTTATATCAATAATTTGGTATTTCCATTTTGACTCATTATTATTTGGTAATTATGATGTCATTATTCGGTAAGTATTTTTTTTCTTTGATATTTCACACTCAATGTTGCGGTTTCCGTAACCTATAAACTGAATGTTCATATTCTGAGAGGCAACGCGGATTTCAGGTCGGCGGATTTTCGGTATTTGACTGTACTATCACAAAACAACATGTATGTGGTGCATGTGGAGATAAACAAATGATTACGAATTCAGAATAAAAGTTTGTTTTATTCTGAAGAAGTTATGGCATAAAAAAAGGTTACAAATCAGTAAATAGTGTAGACACTTCTGACAGCTATACAAGCTGAAACGTGATGTGGCATTGAATCACGTAGGTCACCTATGACCCTTGCAAAAGACCATGCCATAATCTTTGCAACTGGGCAGCCAATTCACCAATATTCCAGGACAGTGGCAGTTGCTTTCCAAGCATGTCCCAAACATGCTCTATTGGCAAGAGGTCTGGTGACCTGGCACACCATAGGTATACATCATATCCTTGAAAACATTTTTAAAGAGTTGTACCGTATATGGACGAGCATTGTTGTTTTAAATAAGTGGCACTTGGGCTACTTGATAGTATAGACAGTACAACCGGCATTAAAATGTCTTCCACATAACTGTGAGCCGTCATGGTGCCTTGAAGAACGACTAGAGGTGATTGTGTGTCCCAGCAAATCGCTCGCCACACTGTCACACCTTGTGTAATCTCCGTATGCTTGAGAACAAATGCTGAGTCAGACCGCTGGCCTGGCCATCTCCACACATGTGTGTGTTAGTCATCAACATTGAGACTGAATTAGGATTAGATATCGAAAAAAACATGGCTTACAAAGTGTTAATAAATAGATATGAATAACTTCCTTCGGAAATAGAACCGATATAGCCTTCCCTCCATTGCTTCTTTTGTAGTGCCATTTTGCATGAAAACAAAACTGCCGAGTAGCAGATGATATGTTATACTTTAAAAATTATAGCAGTTAAAAAAAATTTCTATGCAGATGATTTTTTTATAGCAAAGCAAAATCATCTTAAAAAATGGGCAAACAGCTTCTGTACACAATATAAAGTAGCAGACTGATATTAAGCTATAAGGGATGAAAATATGATCTGAGTTAGTAACAAAGTAAATTTAGTGAGAAAGGTGAGTCTCCTGAGCTTATACCAGTTTGTAAGTACTCAGCTGCAGTTTTATTCCCAATTATCTACTACTTATTTCCTGTGTTCCTTGTTGAGTCCAATTAAATAAGATGAAGGGAATGCAATGAGAAATTTCTGTACAATATTCCATAAACCGGGACAAAGTTCAAGGATCTTCTGCAGTCTAAACTGTGGACCATTCCATATCTAAATATCAGCTCTTTATTTGTAAAGGAAAATGGGCCAAAAAGCTAATCGTGTACATTCATTTTCAAATTATCTTTAAGTTTAGTCCCAGAGCTTCCAAATTCAACTATATCTTCATTGTTTTTTCTCCCCACAATTCACAAATTTATAAAGTAGCTAAATTCTTCTCATCATAAGGTTCTATTGTGCATACTGTAACTTGCCACAAATGTTGAAGTAGTTTCTTTTATGTATACTTTGATTTAATGTCTTCTGAATTTTGCTACATATGTAGAAGTGACATTTTTGGTTTTACTGCATAAAGTCATCATCTTGGAGCTGAAGGTCCGATTCACTGAATTTATTTTAAAAAAAACTGCGTCAGATAAGTGACATCTGTTTTTAAATTTATTGTGCCTGCTCTTAACCTTTTAACTGTCATGCCCGAGATTATCTTGGGCATGGCACTGGTGTTCGAAAATGTCACGCCCGAGTATTTCTCGGGGTAATTTTTTTTTTTTGAGTGCATCGTATTGTCATACCCGAATATATATCGGGAGATGTTTATTTCGGCTACATTTGGTTTTTCCAATAAAAACATTTGACAATTTGTGTATCCAAATCATAAAAATAACTTGACAGTTAAAGGGTTAAAACATCATCTTTATCATCTCAAAACTCCAGCACTGAGTTGAAATGTTTAGAGAAACAGTGGCAACGTGTTCCCTTTAAAAAAAAAAACTGTATTAGAAGCAGATGCTTGAAATTTTGATCATTTTCAGTGTAGAGTTGTGTAAATAATATGCCAGTCAAAGAATTACCTTTGATTTTACTCATTACTGTAATGACGAGACAAAATGAGCTATATAAGCATTCACTCAGATTTTTCCATACTAGATCTTGTCAGTGAATAACACAGCATGTACATTATGAATGTATTTTATACCCGTGCTTTCAAATGTAATATAAAACCACTCTAGTGTGCAGCTGTTGCTGTAGTGCCGCCAGCAACAACTGACTATATTTTGTCAGGGGAATTTCTGTGTGTTTAAAAAAAAAAAAAAATTCCTAATGACTCTCTGTATTACTCTGTAAATTCTGAGCAAATAACAACTTTTAGAAGATTTGTTGATCTCTTATGAACTACACATAAGCAAGAAGACTTCATTTCCTGACAAAATCGAATCATTTAGTTGTATTGGAAAATAAGATGCTTTTAAAAAGTTAAAAGTTTTCAGCCATCTCATATGTTCTTTTTAGGATTATTACTCAAGTAATTTTTTTCATGATTTCAGATGGTGAATTATGCATTATGATTTATTACAGCAAAGTTCTGTAATATCTCTTTTATGGCTGGTAGAAGTAACTCTCCAATAGTATGTGCTTCTTCTGATTGTGCAATAAGTAAAACATTATTGTAAGAAGTATGCGACCCAGCTTCATCTGGTACCGTTAAAAAGAAATTGGGTTGTTTTATAAACTTCTTTGTGAGTTTTTGAAAATAATGCAAATATTTGTCCTTTTAACACAGATGATCTTGGAGTCTGGAAGTATTCATAGCTTCATTTGAGAAAACCTTCTTGATGTATTAGACACACAGGTAATGTATTATTTAAAGGAGACCAAATGAAACTACATTTCAAATAATTAGCCCTATACTGTTGCATTGTTTGCCATAAGATCAAACATGGTAATAATTGAAACAAAAGAATTAAAAATATTTGTTCTAAGAAATAAAATCTAAATTGTTTTGCAGTTTAAGAATATATGAACTAAACTTTTTTCAGGAAAATTCTTTATTATTCAAATATTCATCGTAATTTTTCCAGTAAAAAACTTGAACCAAAATTCTTACATACTTTGAAACATACTTATTCAACATACTTATTTTTGCCAAAATTAGAAAGTGAATTGATGGTATTCTTTTTTAATTATTAATTTTAATAAACAAATTCAATTTTAAGGAATTAAAATAAGGAATATTTTAACTGTTTATATAATAAAATGTATATCAATTTTTAACAAATTGTATATAAAAATTGAGTTTTAATACTTTTAAAAATGCTTTATTTAATGGTGTTTTAAATTTTAGGAGTCTGATTATGGTATTTTTTTTAATACTGTTTTTTCTCTTGATACAATTGTGACTGGTTTCAGTTTTGAGGGGGGAGAAAACTTGAGAAATGTATATCTCTTTTAACAATGCTTTTTATTTCCATTTATTAAACCCATAAAAATACACACATTTTAAAAAAAAGGCTGAGATATTATAATTTTATCGTTAGCATATTATATTCTCTATTCAGTGTGCAGTGTGTCTCCCAGTATATATGATGCATTTTTAAAGAATGTTTCATGTCTAAAAACTGGGTGCATCTTAAACAACGGTGACGTTGCGTCGAACAAAACCAAGGATAAAAGATTGTTGATTATCTTAAGACTGTGATTAAAAGATTGTGTTAGCTATTAGAATGTCAAGTCTTTGCTCACCTGTTTATTTAAAAAAAAAAGTCTGAAACTCCATTTGAGATTCACAAATTCATCCAGCCCATCTTCATTAACAAAGAAAGTGGTGTGATCCCAAAATCAAGCTGTGTTTTATATAAGAAGGACTACAGTAATTGTAATAATGATTTGATAAAAAGATACATTTAAAAATAAATAACACTTAATATTGCTTTCTTATTATTCCTAAAAATAAAATATACTAGTCAAATTTCGATTTTAATCTGATACATCATGAGTGAATATAATCTTACCTGAATCACACATTAGTCATTGCATGCCTTAATTTGTTAATTGTGACTCACACATGATAATTGAGAATGGTTTTTTTCATGATGAACCATGAAGTACAATTTCCTGTTGGCAGAGTGTTTATAAAACACACAGTATATGTAAAATATGCAATGATTTTAAGAAATTGTGTTTATAAAACACACAGTTCATGTAAAATATGTAATGATTTTTTAAGAAAATTATTAAACTTTATTTTACTGTTATCAAATTTGTTGATGAAAAATTCTAAGACTTCTAACAATGATAAAGAATCCAAAAAGGCATATTTTTAAAGGCATATACCTTTGATGAAAATACATCGTAATGCCATTATTAAAGATTCTCCTTCTTTGCAGGTACAAGGTTTGATTCAAAATACGTGCCGAATCAATGCTCTTTAATTCAAACCTTTACAATTGGCATTCACTGCCCAACATTCTAAGGAAGTCAAGCAATAAATCAAGACAAAAATAAAGGCCAGGTAGGGAAGTAGATATATTTTTTAAAAATTTTGTTTCTCAATAAATTATAAAGTTCTAAACTTAAAAAAAAAAAAAAAAAAAAAAAAAAAAAAATCTGAAAGGTTTCAGATTTAAAAATACATCCAAAGGGGCATGTTTTTAAACATTTTGTGTGGTATCTTTATGTATTAGATATTATGTTCTTTGTACCTAAACCTTAAAATTCAGTTCAACAGCAATATTGCAAAATACTTTTAAAATGAGCAAATCTTTAAAATTTCCAGTACAGAGTCTTGCATGCTGGAGATAATTTTTTTTTTTTTTTTTTTTTCAGTACACTGTTGCCATTGCTCATTTTGAAATTGTTTAGTTTGTTAATCAAAAATTCATTGAAGTGTTACAAAATCTGAAATCGATAATAAAACAAATCTCAAATTCAAATTAGGGCTTCCATGGGCCAGTATTCTATGGAAGATAACGTTATTCAAATTTTGATGGATCTAGGTACTGTTATTTTATTACAATGCTAGAAACAAACATTCCTTCAGATTCTTCATTATTTAATTTTTTTTAAATGTAATACAGGTTAATAATATTTGGTGGCAACAATTTGACAAGTGAAACAACGCTTATCGTGAAACGATGCAAAATGCCAAAACGAAATTAATAGCCCTCTTGGGCAAATTGCCCCTTTGGACTAAAAAACAGTTGTAAGGAGAAACAAAGGAGAGTTATATATCATTCCTATAAGCAATTGGCAATTTTTTCAAAGTTATCACGAATGGAGTTTCAGTGCCCACTTTACTATTGTTATTAATTATATGCAGTATTATAAAATCGTTAGAACCTATTTACTATAGAAAATCATTAATTCCTAATGATAATAAACTACATTTATATCATGTTAATTAACTATGACATTTATACTTGTGTTTAATGTCCAAGTTACTATTTCAATTATTCATTATGTGCAAAGTTATTCTAGTACAGTAAAAGTTGTTAATCCGGACGCGTCGGGACTTCGGCGATTCCGGATTATCGATTTTTCCTGATTATAGATCATCAGTTTAAATTGCGTAAGATGGCATGCAGAAATTCTAAAATTAAAAATATGAAACCGTAATTTATGAAATAAAGAACAATTATGATCCAAAGGGTATCAAAATTTAAAAAAAAAAGCTTAATATTTATTTGTTTACTTTGTTAAACATTTCTTTCAATGTAAGTTGTTTAAGTTGCTTCGTTTTATGTGATAATACTTTCTCTTTAATTCTATAAACAGACATAATTTTTTGTTCACTTACAAAGTTCCGCTGTTCAAGTCCCGTTAATTGCTGTGCCGAGAATACCGACTAACTAGTCAATCGAAATTTTTTCATTTTCACTAACCTCTCTGTCACATTCTTCATGTCTTTATCCATTTTTTGCAGCAATTCCACTTTTTGTTTGATGGACATCGAAAACACACTTTCGTTTTGTACGATCCTTTGGGAGCTTCAGAATCAAAAATTCTATTTGACATAATCGAAAGTTCAAGTTTACTTTTATAGTATTGCTCTTACAGTCTGCAAAAAATAATAAGCCGGATCCAATTCGAAAATTAAGGAACAACGCAATCATCACCATTAACTGAAATAGATAATTAGATAATTTTAGCTTACACTGTCCGTTATACATAAAACGCGCACGCGAAAACGTATTCTGCGCTTGCGCACACGCAAATGCGCAGTCGTAAGAGTCTTACGCGCACGCGTAAACGCCTATGCGCATGTGTCAACGCGGCACATGCGCAGAAAGTTTTTAGCTTTGAGGTCCGGATTATAGATCATTCCGAATTATGGGTGTCCGAATTAACGACTTTTGACTGTACTTGTGTGTTTTCCCATTGACCATTTTGACAAACCAAAACGATCACTAAACAGTGTAATTCAGTCCCAATAAAGAATAAGCATTGTTAGATATGACAGTAAATGTTCACTATTTTGTCCATTTATAAACTTAAATAATCTCTGTAAGAATTTAAACACAACCAAACATGTTTATTCTACCAAAATATATAACTTCTGACAACTGCTGCCACTCAGAGCAAAACTAAAGGGAAAATAATACAGTCAAAAGTCTTTAATCCAGATGTCCATAATCCGGAGTAACCTATAATCCTGACCTCAAAGCTACAAACTTTCTGCGCATGCGCGTATGCATTTACGCTTGCACGTTTAATGTATAACGAACGGTACAAGCTAAGCTAAAATTATCTAATTCAATTAATGTTGCAGATTGCGTTGTTCCTTAATCTTCTAATTGGATCCGAATTATTATTTTTTGCAGACTGTTAGAGCAATTTTATAAAAGTAAGCTTTATTTTTTGATTATGTCAAAAAGAATTTCTGATTTTAGAGCTGCCAAAGGATATACAAAGCGAAAGCATGTTTTGATGTCCATCGAACAAAAAGTGGAATTGTTGCAAAAAATGGATAAAGGCATGTCCTTTGTTTCTCTAACCATTCCAAAATCTGTTTATCAATTTCACGCTGCTCTGCTGGGGGGGGGTGGACGTCGCGGCGCGCAATGAACTGAAAGTTGATCTGTCAGCACTATCCTTATCTTCAGGGCAGATGTTTTTATTTTATTCGGCTTATAATTCCTTACTAAATATAGTATTTCACCTCGATGTACTCCGTCTTTGATATGATTTAAATCAAATTCATCATCATTATAAATATTACGAATACACATCAAATAATTAAGACAGAATAACACGCCGAATAAATACTAATTCAGAAGTCAAACAACAAAAATCAGCGTTATACCTACAAAATTTTCACAGGACTAGTTTCAATGGTTTTACCGAACCATCATCTTCAGCTGCAAAACCGCAAATGAATCAATCACAAAATGGCGGCCACACCACGTGCAAAAAAGAAAGCAAAATGTAAGCCTGTTTGGGGCTTCTATAATTAAGACACAATAACACGCCGAATAAATACTAATTCAGAAGTCAAACAACAAAAATCAGCGTTATACCTACAAAATTTTCACAGGACTAGTTTCGATGGTTGAATTTGCGGTTTTGCAGCTGATGATGGTTCGGTAAAACCATCGAAACTAGTCCTGTGAAAATTTTGTAGGTATAACGCTGATTTTTGTTGTTTGACTTCTGAATTAGTACACATCAAATAGTTTTCTGGTTGCAATTTTCTAATTTCGATTATGCGTAATGTATGCTTTACGCATGTGCGCGTTGAAAGAAATGTTTAATAAAGTAAACAAATAAATATTAAGCTTTTTTTTGGAAATTTTGATACCCTTTAGATCATAATTGCTCTTTATTTCATAAATTATGGTTTCATATTTTTAATTTTATAATTTCTGCATGCCATCTTACCAGATTTAAACTGATGATATAATCTGGAATCGTTGAAGTCGCGATGAGTCCGAATTAAAGACTTTTGACTGTACTACACTGGTCGACTTTTGTAAGAAAATCGAAGCACCAAGGACTTCTGCGATTGTGATGAAATTTGGTATGCAAAAACATCTTGATAGAACATGCAAATGATCAAAGTTTCAAGGCAAATGATCAAGAATTGCAGTCGTAGCGCGCATTTGTAGTGCAATTCACAAAGTATTAAACCAGTAACAGAGGCGGAAAATTTGTCTTTTTTTTGTTGCTACCATTGTAGTTCTTGTAAAGAAGTAACTAAAGATGCTATTACGATGATATTGAAGACTTTATAGACAACTAAACGACTTCGTGGGCTCATTGTAGGGTTGCTTGAAGCTGGGTGGTTATACCGAGCACACCACCTGCACCACTGTGCAAAGATGTTGGCAGCAATGGTTGCTACAAGGAAATTGCTGATGAAATGAAGGCTCAGGAAGGCCAAGGAGCACAAATGCGAGGCAAAATAGGATGACTGTTCGCCAGGCCCAAACCTCCCCAACGGTATCATCTTCCACTATTTAATGCACTACAGCCACGTTTGTACCTCCCGTGGTACCGTCCACCATCTCACAGCTCTTGTCTGAGGTGGGGTTATGCTCACAGAGGCTTTTAAGATGTTTGCCTATGACCTCTCAACATCGGCAGAGTCGTCTGGAGTAGTGTTGTATAGTGGTTAGGCGATGAATCCCACTTCACTCTTGAAGCAGATGACCACCGTGTTCATGTCTGGAAAGGACGGGGCCAGCAGTCCCAATCAACCTGTTTTACAAAGCCATACAGCCTGGTATGATGGTGTGGGGTGCTATTTCTTATTACAGCAGGCCATCTTTAGTCATCCTCTGTACATCTTTAACAGCTCAGTCATATGTTGATACCATCCTGCGGCTGGTTGCATTACCCTTCATGGCACGCCATCCTGGGGCCATTTCCCATCAAGAAAAGGCCAGGCTACATACTGCACCCATGTCTCTGGACTATCTCCATGAAGTTGATACACTTCCTTGGCCAGCAAGGTCATCACACCTTTCACCAATTGAGCATGTCTGGGGCATGGTAGGCCGCCAAATTTGAGCACCACAAAATATCACAGATCTGCAGCAACAACTGATGAATGCCTGGCAGAATGTATCACTGGATGACATTAGGAACCTCTACCACTTCTTGTCTCGACGAATTCAAGCATGCATTGCCGCCAGGGGGTAATTTGAACACTCAGTGGGTGATTGTGAACCGTGAACAGGTACTATGACCTTTATTTTGTAATCATTTTATTATCTGTGTATGAGCTATACACATATTCAATTTCATCAAAAACAACCACTTCCTTCATGGTGCTTCGATTCTTTAGCAAAAAAGTGTGTATGAACAATGCTATATGTAACATACTTCCACCTTTTGATAACAGGATTTTTACCAAAACAAATATTTAATTAAACTAAAATTTAACCTCCTCTGAAGTTCATTTAAAAGTCTATTTCAAAGTCCTTGAATCTAGAAGGCACTTTTATAGTTCAACCACTTCATAATTTAATTTATAGCACTCGTCCAAATAGTCATCAAACGTTTTGCCATCTG